CACAACATATATAGTGTTTGACACCGGCACCACCCACACGAACCGAGTGTGGCGATCCTTCAACAGCAGGAAGTACAAGCTGCCATCCTTGGCAGCCACCCGAAATGGCCCGCACAAGTCAATGTGCACGAGAGCCAGTGCCTCCTCGGCGTCCGAGCCCTTGTCGGGGAAGGTGTGCCGCGCCAGCTTTCCTCCGACACACGAGACACACGGCGGGTCTGCTCCGGTCGACGTCTTGATGTCGAGCCCAGTAGCAACTTCATGCATCGCCGAGCTCTTGATCGTGTCGACGCTGACGTGCTCGATCCTCGCGTGCCATCGGTCGGGGGTCGACTTCGTCGCTGAGGCGATCGTCCGTAGAGCCACCACCTCGGTCGACGGCGACCACGTCGAGCAGGGGAGAAGGTCGGTGCAGAGGACTCGGCCGGTGTAGCGTGCTCGACCGAGCACTTCCCCGGGCGCGGCGATGAGCAGCATCTCATCGCCGTCGCCCTGAAGCTGCACTCCGCTCTCCTTCAGCTGGCCAGCTGACAGCAGGTTCGCCTGTACTCCCGGAACGTAGAGCACGTCTGGGATGAGGACCCGCTTCCCGGCCTCTCATTGCAGAGCGACGGTTCCGCGACCCTCGACAGGCTGCAACGCCCCATTGAATCCACGCACGTGCTTCACACTGCCGCTCGGCGCCATGTCGACGAAGACCGCCTTCGTCCCCATCAGGTGGTGGGAGCAACCGCTGTCGAGCAGAACCGCCATCGGGTTTGCCTGCACAGCTGCCGCCACCGCCTGGAAGTCCTCGCCAGCCTTCGGCGCCAGCGAGACTGTCGGCTCCACTACGCCGACCATCGAGCACGACGCTTCCCCGTCGCCTCGGCCTTTGCCGCTGGAGGAGTCGACGTCCTTCATCGACGACGTCTTCTTCGACGTCTGCTTCTCCTTGCGCGGCTTCTTATCTCGACTGGGGCGACGACTGGTCGACCGACCGCGGCCTCTCTTGTTGTTGTCGTTGTCGCTGTCGTCGCGGTCGGGGCACTCGTACGAGAGATGGTCGGGGTCGTGGCAGATCCAGCACTCCCGTCGTCGACCACCACCTCCACGGCCCTTGTCCCGCGTCGACCTCTTCTCATCGACGTCCTTCGTCGACCGCCCACCTCCGCTACCACCTTCGCCCGGCTTCCCGCGCTGCCCCTGCTTACGATTCTGCTTCGTCGGTGCAGCGTAACTCGCCTGCAGAAGGAGCTCTGTGGGCTGCTCTGCCTCCTGCAGAGCCTCGTCTTGAATGACGTAGCTGGTGAGGGAGTCCTCGTCGAGGGACTCACGCGTGCCGGGCACCATCATCATCCTCTTCACGAGGTTGTAGCTGCGCGGCAGGCCCTTGATGACGTGGGTGATGTAGGACGCCGTAGAGTATTCGAACGCCCGCCATCCGCATCTCAGCCAGGATCCGTCGAGCACGGTTGCAGTAGTCCGTCGCCGACTCATGCTCGCCCATTCGAAGGTGTGTCATCTGCTCCTCCAGCTGACCGATGTACAGGTCGTCCGTCGCCTGGTACGTCGAAGCGCCACGCCAAGTGACCAGCATCCAGTTGCTCTCGACAAGACTTGAGCGCTACCTGGACCACTGGCGAGCAGCACCTCGAGATGACCATGAAGGTGAGCAGGTGAGCAGCACGAAACTCCTTGCGCAGCGCGACCTCGTCCTCGGGCGGAATTGGCACGGTGCCATCGGCAAAGCCCTTCAGCCCGGCGACCTCCAGCTGAGGTTCCATCGCCTCCCTCCAAGTGATGAGGTCCCGTCGACCTTGCAGCGGTGTGGCGGTGATTTTGTCCGGCGTGAACTTGAAGTGACCATACGCCGGTGCAATCCTGCCCGCCGTCACGTGCGTCGTCGCCGAGAGCCCTCCACCACTTCGTAGAGGAGAGCTACATCGTCCGTCAACATCGGCGCGCGAGCTGCCTGCAGCCGTCGTCGACCGCTGCATTCGCGCCAGGCTCCTGTTGACATCACCGTCGACCTTGATCACCCCTCTCTTCTTCGTGCCTTCGCTGCCGCTGAATTGTGCACCGCCGTCGACCTCCTCGTCGACGCCACCTTCGTTTCGCACCGGTCGAGGAGATGCAGGTCGGGAAGGGTGTTCCGTCGCCCACTGCGCACGGATTCCCAGCTCGACGATCCCCAAAGGGAGGGGTGATCCGTACTCGCCAGCCTTGTGGCGTCTCCTCGCATCAGCCAATCGAGCCTCGAAGGTGTCCGCTACGCCCGCTTCTACTACGGGGTCGACCATGGCGACTTAAAGTGGCTGCCGGCCTACGAACGACTTAGTAGGTGCAAAAGTCGGCTCCTATCTGAAGGTAATCTGCGGGGCCATCCACGCTCACCGCACCATGCGGAGAGTCACTCTACAATAGTTGTGAGCTAGACTACGGGGGGGTGGCACGAACTCTAGGAGTGATCGTAGCTTTGCGTAGTTCCTTAGCACTTGCACATTTACGGGAGAAATCGGCAAGAGTTTCCACTAGGCAAAGATTGCATTACAGAATGATAGCAATGACAATGACAAGGATGACTACATCAGGCACCTAGCAACTCTGCAGCTAGCCTGGTCGACCGACAGCACAGCACGGTCGACCGCCTGCCAACGTTTCGTAGAGGAGCTGCGCCAGCACTGCAGAAAGGCGACCTGCCAACGCAGCAGGCCGACGGCGTGCCAACGCTGCAGCGGAGAGGCTGTCCAGCGTTGCACCCGTAGAAGACAGCAGTGCGCATGTCCGCATGTGCGCGTAGACAATTGGCCTGACTTGCACCGTTGTGCATCTGTCGGCCCTGGTCTGCGCCCGACGAGCCACATCGACTTCGGGATACCAGCCCGAAGTCGCCTTGGTCATCGCGACCTCGACGACGTTCGCGTGCCTCCGCAAAACTCGCCAAGCAGGTTACCTGGTCGACCTGGTCGACCACCCAGTGCTCTGGTCGACGCCTCCCTCGTTGACCTCAACTCCCGTCGAGGAACACCCTGGTCGACGGACCCTTCCGTCGGCCAGAACTGTCAGCTGCTGTCGCCGAGCTCCCCTCGTCGACTGCCGCTCACATGTCCTACGCAGGTCGACGGACTGCTCCGTCGACCTCCCCGTCGAACTACTCCTCCTGGTCAACGGCCCACCCGTCGACCAGCTTGGTCACCTGCAGCCGTCGAGCTGCCCTGGTCGACGGCTCCAGCCCCGCTACTGTCCTGTGCAGGTCGACCACCATCTTGTCGACCTGCCCTGCAGATGAAGGCCGTCGAGCACCCCTGGTCGACGGCAACACCACAGTGATCCCCTGCAGCTCGACGAAGCCCGTCGAGGAGCTCCCTCACTGTGTACGGTCGGCCCCGTACAGCCGACCAGGATGTTGGCGTCGCCCAAGCGATATACAGTACTACGCCGACGTAAAGGGTTCGGTGGCACCAACGCCCCCGTTGTTTTTTTGGGTCAAAGGATTGTGTAATGGGTTGACGAGTCACTAGCGAATTTTGTTAACTCCAGGCCAGTAGGTGGTGACCTGGCGAGAAGGCCTGGCTCGGCCTAACTGCCGAGGCGTGTTGGTTGCTTCGGGGCTACGTAGTAGGGGCGCGACTCACGAGGCCCCAATTTGGCCACTTTACTGCTACTCCGGGGCCCCTTTTTGATATTTTCCCTTGCCTCTTCTGCGGCCCACCCACCCCACGGAGCCGTATTCTGCCAAGCATGGCTGGGTACTGTACAGTTCGGTAAATACTGCACACTCATTGTTGTCCTCCCAGCTCATAGTGTTGTAGCAAACAGTAAAACTCCAAAAACCCTTGTGTCTTCGTAGCCCTTTATGCTTTTTACGACTGTGAACTGTAGCGCTGTGACGAGCCACGACAGTGCCGTGCCGGTGCCTCATTATGGCGGTGGTTGTTGGTTCTTCTGCTCGGCTTGGCGGTTTCCCCTCCGTGCGAAACCTGGTGAACGAACCAAACCAGATTCCATGCATAAAACGGTTGGTGCATGTAGAACATGCCACATGGACCAGAGGAACCGTAGCTGGCGAGTGTACAGTATTGTAGGCTGGGCTTTCCCTGAAAAAGTCGTAGCTTTGTTCGAGATCAAGACTATCCATGTCGCTGGGCATGGCGGTCTGACGTGCGGGTTTCTAAGAGAGTACTATCGACATTGGAGCGCTGCGTGACCCTTCACGCTAGGACTACTAACGTACGCGCCTAGCGCGGAAATCATAGTAGTACCTAAAAAACATGATCTCACAGAGCTCCATAAGACTGGAGCGACTCGTTCCGAAAGACTTACCACTTTCTAGTACTTACTCATTTCCAGCTTGAAAACCTTCGTACCGCAGTGCGGCCATGTGGTGTGATTGCAGCGACAAAGCGGGAGGCCGTTTGTCGCGTACCACTGTTGACAGCGATGGGTTGTAACAAGTAGAGTTACGCATAACAGGAGAGGGCGGGGGGGGTGGGGGGAAGGGGGGGGAACATTCGGAGGGGGGTTTCCGCGCACCTCGTGGCTGGCGGGCGCAGAGAGTCCGCGCGATGACAGCCTGTAATGAGAGTCCTGCAACGCGCTTTTGCGGAGGGAGAACAATTTCAAAAGTGGCAGGCGCGGGTGGATGTAGGAACTGGAATTCAACGTAGTAGTAACCAGCGCTTTGCGGGCTCGGCGCGCTTCAGCTAAGATTTCTTATCGAGAAATTCTCAAATGGGGGATGAACCTCAAAGTTGCAGGCGCGGGCGGATGTAGTGACGTGGATTCAACGTAGTAGTAACTTCCCCAGCTTGCGGGTTCGGCGCGCTTCGACTCGAATCCGGAACAAGCAGCGCCTTACCAAAGACACCCTAGTAACCTGGAAGATCGAGCAAAAACGGACCATGACGGACGGCGGTAGCTGCAGCGGCGGTGGTGGCGATGATGGTGGCCGGCGACATGCGGCGGGGCTTCGGCCGGAGAAGCCGCATCGTGGCTCGCGAGCGGCCAGTCGGATCATCATGTTTGCTGCGTTGCTGATCGTCGCCTTGCCCTGCACAGAGACGTCTCAGCGGTTGCATCGCCGTGGCAAGTTGCGAGCGGCCAGTTGGATGCTTGCTGCTACGTTGCTGATCTCCCTGCTCTGCGCAGCGCCGATCATGCCGTGCGTTGGGGCGCCGTCAGGTAACAGGAAGCTGCAGTGCGGTGGGCGAGTGGGCGAGTGGGGGAATGGGGGAATGGGGAATGGGGGCCAGGTAAGAAGAACGAAATGGGAGACGTGGGGGATGGAAGAAAAAGAGATGGGGAACTACTATCAAACCAAACCCTTTATTAAGGGGATAAACGAGGCTGTGATGGGGGGAGTGGGGGAGTAACAATGCAGATCACTGTGCTGAGAGGATACGTGAAGGTAAATGGTGGAGCATGGTTGTTATTTCTCACCCCCTCACCCTCAGGTCACTTTCTCACCTTCTCATGCTCAGGCTTCCCACTCTAGGGCAGGTGCAGGTGCATGCGGCATGGATGGAGGCATGGATGGGGCATGGATGGGGCATGGATGGGGGCATGGATGGGGGCATGGATGGGAGCATGGATGGGAGCATGGATGGGGGCATGGATGGGAGTGTGGTTCGGGGCGTGCATGGGTATAGGCCCACACCAGCCTACTATTCGAGGAGTCTTAGAGTCTAAGAGGAGTCTTAGAGTCTAGAGGAGTCTTAGAGTCTAGAGGAGTCTTAGAGTCCCCCCCTCCCACTGCCCTGCGGCCCTCCACCCGCCCCGCTCAGGGTGCCCACTTCTCGAGCAGGTGCACGTGCGGGCGGGCTGGCATGGGTCCGCAGCAACACCAGGCTGCTGCGGCGACTCCACCCACCCACCCCCCCCACTTCCCCCCACCTTTCCCCTTCCCGCCTCTCACGTGCCCGCTCCTGTTCAGGGTGCCCACTTCTCGAGCAGGTGCACGTGCGTGCGGGCGGGCATGGGTCCGCAGCACCAGGCTGCTGCGGTGGCGCCGCCATTCCCTGCGGTACGTGCCTGCACCAGTTGAGCCTCGCCCCACTGGCTGGTTGGTTTAACTTGTGTCAGCGACGCCTACGCACCTCCTTTCCTTCTGCTTTCTACTCCTGTCTGCAACTCCTCCGCACTCCACTGAGCCCTCCTGCACTCCCCTGCACTCCCCTGCACTCCCCTGCACTCCCCGAGGCCTGCCTGCTCCTCAGCCTTGCTGGAATAACGGCGTCAATCGCTCCGCATGTGCTGCTTGTGTTCATGCTGTGTGACCATGTCGGGGTGCATGCCATGCCATGCCATGCCATGCCATGCCATGCCATGCCATCCCATGCCATGCCATGCCATGCCATGCCATCCCATGCCATGCCATGTCATCCCATGCCACGCCATGCCATGCCATCCCATGCCATGCCATGCCATGCCATGCCATGCCATGCCATGCCATGCCATGCCATGCCATGCCATCCCATGCCATGCCATGCCATCCCATGCCATGCCATGCCATCCCATGCCACGCCATGCCATCCCATCCCATGCCATGCCATGCCATGCCATGCCATGCCATGCCATGCCATGCCATGCCACGCCATGCCATGCCATTCCATGCCCATGCCATCCCATGTCATGCCATCCTCCTGTGTGTTTGTGTGTGTTTGCTGCAGGGACATTGGAGCACGCTCTCTCCATGTGAGTGCAACAACACACCCTCCATACATGGCCTCAACCCACCCTGCATACTCTCTTCCCACCCTCCATGCGCTTAACCGCTCTCCACCCCTTTGTCTCGCTTACACCCCATTTGCACCTCTTGTTCGTCCACTTATCGCCATTGTCACTAGCACTCCTCGAGACATCCTTCCATGCCACATGCATGCACACATCACATTCATCCACACCATACCAGGAACCTGCTCACCCATGCTCACCCATGCTCATCCATGCTCTCTCATGCTCATCCATGCTCACCCATGCTCACCCATGCTCACTCATGCTCACCCATGCTCATCCATACTCACCCTCCTTCCCAGGTTGCCCCCATCAGGCGGGTCACTGCTTCTCTCCCCAGGCTCCCACCGCCTCCCCACTGCTGGTCTCGCTCTTGGTGCCCGATCCATCTCCCTCCTCCCCGCCCTCCCCTCAGCCGTTCCCAACCCTTTTCCTCCTTCCCTTCCTCCTTCTCCTTCTCCTCCTCCTCCTCCTCCTCCTCCTCCTCCTCCTCCTCCTCCTCCTCCTCCTCCTCCTCCTCCTCCTCCTCCTCTTCCCTATCTCCCTGCGGTCCCTGCCGTTCCGATTATTGAGTGCGGAGGGGAGGCTTGTCTCTCTGCCGTCTGTGATCCAGCCACTGCCGTGGTGCCATGTGGCAGCGCGCGATTGGTCCTCGCAGGGATCGCCGTGCAGAACGGCCGGGCCGGCGCGCCACGTGGCGGCTGCCTATTGGTCGAGAACCAGGCCGTCCACGTCAGCAACGCCTCCTTCACCGGCTGCTATGCGGCCACTCACGGCGGCGCAATCTCAGTCCTCAACGCGCCACGTGTCACTCTCTTGCGCGTCCACGTCAGCGCCTCATCCGTCTCCACCCACTTAGGAGGTGGTGGGGGCGTGGCATTACGAAACGTGACTATAGCGAGCGTGACCGAGTGCTGGTTTGAGGGGTGTACGACAAAGGCTGGTATTGGGGGAGGTGTTTACTGCGAGGCCAGTGGGTTGGAGGTGCGGGGAGGGGCATTCTCGCGCTGCGCCGCTGATGCGAATGGAGGCGGGCTGGCGACTAGCGGGTGCTCTGGGCGAATTGATGGCGTGACATTTTCCGAAAATAACGTGCGTGTCGATGGGTGGGTGGGGATGGGTGGGCGGGTGATGATGGGTGGAGTGGGGCTGGTGACTAGCGGGTGCTCTGGGCATGAGTGTCTGGAAGACTCTTCGTCCTGTTCCCTCACTGTCTCCCCTTCCCACTCCCCCCCCCCCTCTCACCCCAATCAGGCCACCATGGGGGGCTGCATGGCAGACACAGCCTCCCCCTCCTTCGCCGTCTCGCGCTGCTCCTCCGTCACCCTTGATTGCTTCTCCTTTCGCCAATCCCTCCTATCCACCCTCCATCTCATTCCCTTCATCAGGCCACCATCGGGGGCTGTATGGCAGACACCTCTGTTAGTGTTAGCCCTCAATTCCACACTTTGTATTTGTACTTTCTATATCCTAGCGTAGTGTAGTTTGCACTTTGTGTTTGGTTGGGTGTACACCTACATCCCAACCAAACCCAAATGTAATCTCCAAGCAATCTCCAACCCACCAATTGGAGATGGCCTTGGGATTACCCCCAATCCCTAGAGATTGTCCCCGATTCCCCTCCCCATCCATTCCTTGCACATCCTGGATGCACTTAAAGAGCTTCAAGCTCATTACTAATGCATGGATTCTAAGCTCAAGTTCTGACAACCTCATCCCCCTCCCTCGCCGTTTCGCGCTGCTCCTTCCTCACCCTCTCTTACATCCCCCTTTCCTACTCCCTCCCTCCCTCCCACCCCTCCCCCCATCAGGCCACTATAGGCGGCTGCATGGCAGACACTGCCTCCCCCTCCCTCGCCGTCTCGCGCTGCTCCTTCCGCTCCTGCCTCGCCGCCAACCCACTAGCCGACCCCTTCACAACCTACATGTGTGGCGCTGCTATCCACGCCAACCACACCGCCCACCTCTCCCTCTCCCTCTCCCACTCCCTCGCCCTCTCCCTCTCCGTCTCCCTTTCCCAATTCTCCCACAGCGTTGCCATCTGATATCCAGCCCCCCTCTTCCACCCCCTCCCTCCGTCTCTCCCTCCCGCTCTCCCACGTTCCCCTCCTCCCCTCCACCCCAGGCGACCATAGGGGGATGTATGGCAGACACAGCGTCCCCCTCCCTTGCCGTCTCGCGCTGCTCCTTCCGCTCCTGCCTCGCCGCCAACCCACTAGCCGACCCCTACACCGAATACATGCGCGGAGCCGCCATTCACGCCAACCACACCACCGCCCTCTCCGTCTCCCTCTCCTCCTTCCTCAACGGCTCTGGCTCCATGGGCGGGGCAGGGATCATGGCTCTAGGCGTCGCCAACCTCACGGTTACCGCCTGCGAGTTTCGCGGTAACCGTGCGTTCAGACTGCGGAGCGGCGGAGGGGCGGCGCTAGAAGGGCAGTATAGCAACGTGACCGTCCGACATTCCCAGTTTCTCAACAACCTTTCAGAATCCCCCATGATAGCTTTGGGAGGAGCAGTCTATTTCATAGACTGCCCTAGTCTCTTCTCCAACTGCTCGTTTCTCGGGAATGAGGCGAGGCACACTACGGAGTCAGCGACGGGTCATGGAGGCGCGCTGCTGCATGCGTGGGGGATGACGGAGAGCGCTGCAGTGCGGATGGAGGTGGAAGACTGTGTGTTTGAAGGGAATCTGGCGCGGTTTGGAGGTGCGGCGAGCTTTGAGAGCGAGGCTGTTATTCGGCGCACCCGGTTCCTCCGCAACTCGGCGTCTTTCCGCGTCGGCGGTGCGGGTAGGTAACGTTGTGCTTCCAAGGAGTTGCGTATGAAGCACGCATGTGATTGCCTGCTTGCTTGCTTGACATGATTACCAACAGGGCCAGGTTTGAGTTCTGAGCTTTGAGAGCGAGCGAGCGAGCGAGGCGGTGATTAGGCGGACAAAATTCCTCCGCAACTCGGCGGCTTACAGGGTTGGCGGTGCTGTTAGGTTGGTCCGTCCTGTTTAGGGGGGTTTGCAGCACGCGTGTGCTCGCTGAAGGCGAGGTTGGGAGCATGTGCCACAGGAAGGGATGGAGGAAGGGAGGGGGAGGGGGGGGGGAGGGGTGGTGTAATATCGTGTGAACATGCAGGAATGATTCTGCTCCAGTTTCCACTCCAGTTGTTGTTCTCCCTTACTTTTTCTCACATTTGCTGCCCAGTTTCCGCTCAGGAGTAGTCTCGAGTGCAGGTAACTTTGTTTCCTCATCCCCATCCCCATCCCCATCCCCATCCCCATCCCCATCCCCATCCCCATCCTCATCCCCATCCCCATCCCCATTCCCATCCCTGTTCCCACCCCCATTCCCATCCCTGTTCCCACCCCCATTCCCATCCCTGTTCCCACCCCCATTCCCATCCCTGTTCCCACCCCCATTCCCATCCCTGTTCCCACCCCCATTCCCATCCCTCAGTGCTCTTGATGCGGGGGGCGGCAGTGGCAGACTGTGAGTTCAGCGGCAATACGGTGCTGCACAATGGAGGGGCTATAACCACTGGGGGTGTCGGAATTACCAACATCACCCGCACCACCTTTCTCAACAACACTGCTCTTTCGGGGGAAGGGGGGGCGATCTACGTGCAAGAGGTGAGATGGGCGGCGTCGGAATTCTCCCACTTTCTCAACAACACCGCTTTGTTGCTCTCTGCTCCTCTTTCTCCCGAAAGGAACGATGCTGCTCTCTCTCTCGCACTCCCCTTCGTCTCCCCTCACCCCTTTCGACAGCAACATTCCCCGTGGCATCTGGCTGGCAGCGCACCTCAGGGACCGTCCTTGTGTCCCACTCCCTCTTTCTCAACAACACCTCTCTGCTATCTGCTCTCTGCTCTTCCCCCCTTGTCACACTCCCTTTGTCAGAGCACCTCAGGGACCGTCCTTGTGTCCCACTCCCTCTTTCTCAACAACACCTCTCTGCTCTCTGCTCTTCCCCCCTTGTCACACTCTCTTTGTCAGAGCACCTCAGGGACCGTCCTTGTGTCCCACTCCCTCTGTCTCAACAACACCTCTCTGCTCTCCAAGGGCGGAGCCATCGCTTTCTCTGGCAACATACTCGCTGAAGACAACTCCACTTTCGTTAACAACTCCGCTCTGGTGAAGGGTGGAGCAATATCAGGTAAAAAACCCATAGAGCAGGCGAAGTAGCCACGTGATAAGCGTTGGGTTTTGAGACGTCTCAAAATCCATAGGGCAGGCGAGATAAGATACGCACGAGGTGGAGTGGTATTGGGAGAGGGATGGAGTGGTATTGGGAGAGGGATAAGGTGACGAAATGAGACTACTTTTAAGGTGACAAGCTGAGATGGATGGAGTGTGTATGAGAGTGAGTACTACTTTGCTCGATGCTTCCGCATCTATCTTTCCCAGCCTCCTACATGCCTTTCACCCTCCATTTGCGCCCACTCTCCTACTCCGTCTCCTCCTCTCCCCCGTCAGTGGAAGGCTCTTCAGCAGCAGCAGTAAATGGAACCCTCTACCCCGTCTCCATCTCCCACTCACACTTCCTCTCCAATCGCGCCGATCTGGGCGGGGGAGCAATCTCCCTCTCCTCCCAAGCAGCACTCACCGCACTCAACTGCTCCCTCCTCCACTGCCGCTCTGGCAGCGGCGGCGCCGTTCTGATCGAGGACTTTGGACGGCTCAGATTGCACCGCAGCGAGTGCTCTTGGAACCAGGCGCCATCCGGGGGAGGCTGCATCTCCCTCGGGGAATTTGCCACTGCTACAGTCACGTCGTCTAACGTCACGTGCAACGACGGCGGGAACGAGGGCGGAGCGCTGCGTATGACTGGCCAAACGCTCCTCTCCCTCTCCTCATCTCTCCTCTCTAACAACTCGGCTTTAGACGGAGGAGCCCTGTGGGCGGAAATGAACGCCCAGGTTCAGATCTCCGGTTCGAATCTCACCGGAAACACAGCGAAAGTGCAAGGCGGCGGGGTGTATGCTATCCACAAGTCGAACCTCTCGGTTTACGACTCGCTGTTTGTGGCAAACCGGGCTTTGGTGGGCGGTGGGTTGCTAGCGGAAGGAGAGGTGGTGGTTTCGGTGACCGGAAAATCAGGGTTTGAGCGGAATGAGCAACATGGTGTGGTGCTGCTGGGGCAGACCAAGGCGAGGTTTCAAGACACGGGGTTTAGAGGGAACGGTGCGGTAGGGTCGAGGGACGGCGGGGCGGTTCAGGTGTCGGATGTGGCTGTGGTGGTTCTGGTGGGAGGGGTGGTCATGGAGAGGAATTGGGCGAGGAGAGGCGGGGCGGTTTTTGCCGATGCTGATAGCAGCCTGACTCTGTCGGGTGATTTGCTGGGAGGCGCAGCAGCAGGGGGAGTAGTAGGAGGAGCAGCAGGGGTAGGAGCAGCAGGAGTGAAAAGAGCAGCAGGGGAAGGAGCGGCTGCAGGGCCATCCTCGATACAAGCCCGGCTGCGGCCGCGGCTTATAAGGAACCGCGCGGAGCAGCAGGGAGCAGGGATATTCGCAGGAGGCAACACCACCATCACCATCGCAGGCACTACTTTTCTCAACAACAAAGCCGGGGAATCGGGAGCAGGAATAGCCATTCTAGAGCAGGCTCACGGCACCCTCACGGCGTGTGCTTTCAAGAGGAATGTGGGGGGAGGGGAGGGCGCAGGGGTGTATATCAACCGGGGGGGAGCAGCGGGAGGGGAGGTGGGGGATGCTGGGGCTGCATCGGTGGCTGTGAGTGCGTTTTTGCCTCCAGGGTCTGGTTCGGTGGATGGGAGTGCAGCGGACAGCAACGCTGGCAGCAGCAACAGCACTGCACCTGCTACCGCTGCTACTGCTACTGATGCTGCTGACGCTGCTGCTGCTAATGCTGGTGGTGTGGCAGCAGTAGGAGTGGGGGGGTTGCTGCCATTGGCGGTGTCTCGACTGTCTTTTCAAGGCAACACAGCAGCCAGCACGAGTGGGACTAGTAGTGGGTCTAGTGGGTCTAGTGGGTCTACTGGGAGTAGTGGGTCTAGTGGGACCGGTGGCTCCAGTGGGAGTGGCACGAACACGGCCCTCGGGGGCTCTGCCTTCTTTGACGCCACCTTTCAGCCCTCCATGCGCTCGCCCTGCCTCCGCTGCCACCGCACAGACCCGAGGGATACCTTGGGATCTCCTCCCACTTCCTTCATGATGTGGTGAGTGGCTGTTTAACTTGAGGTAATTCAAGGCGCCTCAGTTATCCTTTCCTCCATGCGCTCGCCCTGCCTACGCTGCCATCCCACCGCACCGCACCAACCCCCAGGACACCTTGGGGTCTCCGCCAACTTCCTTCATGATGTGGTGAGTTAGTGAGTGGATGAGTGAGAGGCAGCAGCAGAGATTGACACTCTGTAAGCCATAGGCTCTGGCCTTCTAAGGCAACACAGCGGCCAGCACGAGTCGGGGCGGTGGGACGAGCACGATTGGAAATGGCACGACCACCCTTTTCCACCCCTCTCCACCCCTCTCCTGTGTTGTGTGTGCTGTGCTCTCTGTGCCTTCACCAGGTGGGAGGGCAGTGGCGAGCAGGATGCAGGCGGCCAGGCGAGGTACAGGGTGAGGGGGGACATGGCCAACCCAACCTGGTCTCAGGGCTGCACGTCACTCTGCTCTCCCTGCCTCTCCACCCCTCTCCTGCGCCGCACTCCACTCCTCTCCATCCCTCTGCTGTAATTGCTGTGTGCTATGCTCTGTGCCCCCACCAGGTGGGAGGGCAGTGGCGAGCGGGACACAGGGGGAGAGGCAAGGTACAGGGTGAGGGGGGACATGGCCAACCCCGTCTCAGGGCCCCTCTCCTGCACCGCTCTCCTCCCCTCTCCACCCCTCCCCACCCCTCTCCACCCCTCCCCTGTGCTTTCTGTGCCTTCACAAGGTGGGAAGGCATTGGCGAGCGGGACACAGGCGGAGAGGCGAGGTACAGGGTGAGGGGAGACATGGCCAGCCCCGTCTCAGGGCTGCATGTCACTCTGCTTGATGCTGCCGGCCTTTTGGCTTCTAGTGTGAGTTGCTGTGCGGTGCTGTGTGGTGCTGTGCGGTGCTGTGTGGTGCTGTGCTGTGCTGTGCGGTGCGCCCTTGCTTGCTGGTCTCAGAGCTGCACGTCACCCCTGCTCGACCCTGCCGGACTCTTGGCTTCTCTACACACCCCTCTCCCTCCTTTTCACACTCCCCTCTCGCACATCAGGATTACTCAGTGTTGGTGGAGGTGGTACCGAGTCCATTCATTGCAGGGGAGCTCCGAGCAACAGCAGTGGGCGGCACTGTCACTGTGCTGCTCCCTTCTCATCTCTCACCCTCTCTTTTCCATCCTCCATCTGTTCCACTCCATCTCCCTTCCAATGCATCAGGATGACTCGGTGTTGGTGGAGGTGGTACCAAGCCCATTCACGCCGGGTGAACTTCGAGCAACAGCAGTGGGTGGCACTGTCACTGTGCCGCCCATCACCATAGTCCGACTCCCTCCCTCCTTCCCTCCCTCCCTCCCTCCCTTCCCCCAACTGCTGCCCCGGCCCTATCCAACAGGATGACTCAGTGTTGGTGGAGGTGGTGCCAAGCCCATTCATCGCGGGGGAGCTCCGAGCAACAGCGGTGGGCGGCACTGTCACTGTGCTGCTCCCTTCACAACTATCACCCTTTCTTACCCATCTTCTCCCCTCCCGTGCACATCAGGATGACTCGGTGTTGGTGGAGGTGGTGCCAAGCCCCTTTATCGCGGGGGAGCTCCGAGCAACAGCAGTGGGCGGCACTGTCACTGTGCCGCCCATCACCATAGTCCAACTCCCTCCCTCCCTCACTCCTGCTCTTCCTACCACTGACCCCACCGGTACCCCAACTGGTAACCCTACCGCTGCTGCTTCTACCAGTGGTGATCCCATCGCTGCTGCTTATTCCACTGCTCCTACTGATGCTCCCACTGACGCTCCTGACGCGACAGCTGGCGTGCTGTCATTGGCTGTGGCTGTCAGCAGCCCGCTGAACGCGTTCCCGCTGTTTCAGCGCATGCTGGAGATCGTTTTCTGCCCGGCCGGGCAGTATTACGAAACAGCAGCAAACGGCACAAACAGCTACAATAGCAGCAGCAGCGGCAGCAGCAGCGGCACCACCGCCACTAATACCACCATGAGTGGATCACCCCCCCTCACATTTGCAAATTCTCAGAATTCTCAGAATCCTCAAAACAGCCTGATGCGATGCTCCACCTGCCCCATCGGCAGCTACTGCGGGCCGGGAAGGGGCGCCCAGCACTGCCCAGATGGCACCTTCTCCTTCCGCCCAGGTGCCACCTCCCCCACTGACTGCCTCCCCTGCCCCAACACCACCAACGCCCGCACCCACCTCCCCGCTATGACGTGTTCTGATGGCGTTGCTGACGTGGCGGCGGGGTATTGGCTGGATTCGGGGAGTGTGGCGAAAGGGCAGGTGGTGGTGTATTCGTGTGATGTTCTCAACGGGTGCCCCGGGTTTCAGGCTTCTACCATCCAAAACGGAAGTGATTCTCAGCTTTACCCGAATCCGGATTCGGGCTCGGCGCAAGGAGGAGGGGGTGTGGTGGCGGCAGTTTGCAGCGAGGGGAAGGGGGAGGGGGAGCAGGGGCGGTGTGGAGGGGTTGAGGGGGGTGTTGGGGAGTACGGGCAGTGCGGGGAGGGGTATGCCCAAGTGCGGCTGTGCTCTGAGTGTGCTCCAGGTTTCTACTCTCTCCTCAGGGAGTGCCGCCCCTGCACCACCACTCTCACCACTGTGAGTGACTGTTGAGGGACCTAAAAAATCTGTACGCTCAAGTCTGCCCCCCCCTCCCCCTCCCGCTCCCCCACCCCGTTCCCACTCACTCCCCCGTCCCTTCTCCACCCCCCCTTCACCTCCCCCCTCCCCGCAGCTCTTCCCGCTCTTCCTCACACTCATCCTCCTGGCCTGGGTGGTTATGGCACTGCTCTCCTCCGCCTTCCACGCTGCAGCCATCTTCCTCGCACACACACCTGCAGCTGCTTGCACTCATTGCGTCCTACAACAACTGGCCCCTCTCCTCTCCCCCTTGCTTGTGCCACCCCCCACTCCTTTCCCCCTATCCCCCAACCCTCTCCCTTCCCCCTCCCCCCATTCCGCAGCTCTTCCCGCTCTTCCTCACGCTGATCCTGCTCGCCTGGGCAGCCATGGCTCTCCTCTCCTCCGCCTTCCACGCAGCAGCCATCTTCCTCTCAGACCTGCAGCTTCTTGCACTCATCGCGTCCTACAGCATACCGCTCCCCACCTGGCTCAACCCCTTCATCCAACTCTTCCAGCTCTCACTCTTCATCCCCGTAAGTGCTGCTCTGTGTGCTGAGGCGGGTTGATTGATAGAAGCCCTTTGGGTGTTGCTGTGTGGGAGTTGTTGTGTGTGTGAGCCGTGCTGTATGATAGCACCAGCATGCTCCACTCCACTCCACACACCCTCTCAATCAGCAGCGCCAGCATGAGATTGCTAGTTTTGAGGCGCCTCAAAACTAGACTGCTCCACACACCCTCTCTATCAGCAGCACCAGCATGAGATTGCGGGCTCTTACCAACAATCTTCCTTGCATCCAATCTCTCTCGCCCTTCTCATCTCACACCTTCCTCTTCCTTCCTCCACCCCATACCCCAACCCTCCCCATCCCGCGTTCCGCATCTCTCATGCACTCATTAGGACGTGATAGCGCCAGCATGATCCACACACTTGGGTTGTTACCACCAATCTTTCTTCCATCCAATCTCGCTTGCCCCTCTCACCCGCCTTCTCTTCTCTCCTCTTTCTTCCACCCTTTCCCCATTCCCCCATCTCCTACCTCATTCCCCCCCTCCCCACTACAACCCCTTGTAACCCCATGCACCTATCAGGACCTGATAGCACCTGCTTGCTCCACACCCTTCGGCTACGAGCAGGAATGGGCAGTCACCATGCTCATACCCCTTACAGGCCTCCTCGTTTATGCAACACTCTTTGCCCTGCGCAAGCTCTACCTGTTTGTTTTCTGTAGCAAAAGCACCTCTACTGCTGCAGTTACCACCTCCACTTCCCCTCCTCCTCATCCTGCTGCTGCTGCTCCTGCTGCTACTCCTACCACCAGCAACACAGGAGCAGAAGACACTGCTTCCCCCAACCACCCTCCGTCCCACACCCACTCCGACCCCTTCAATTACACCCTATTCCACGGGGTAACCAACTGGTTAGACCTCTGTTACGCCCCTGTCATTTACCGCTGCCTGCAAGCCCTCCACCCGTACTTCTACGGAATACAGACGCTCGCCGCCGCCCCGACTATCGTCTGGTTCTCCGCCGCCCACAACACCATGTTTGCTTTGTCTGTAGTGGTGCTGGTGCTATATGGGGGGGGGTTGCCTGTGGGGCATGCCGTAGTGTTGTGGCGGGGGAGAGGGGGAGGGGGGAGGGAGCGAGGTGGAGAGGTGGGGAAAGGGGAGGGGAGGGGAGAGGAGGGGAGGAGAGAGGATGGGAGGAGAGGGAGGCGGAAGGGAGAGGTGAGGAGGAGGGGACGGTGGGATGCACATGCGTACAAGAGGCGGTGGGGGTGGATGGTGAACCGATACGACGACCACTATTACTGGTAGGCCACCCATCCATCCATGTGTCTCTGCAGCAGCACTGTTGCCGCTCTGCCACCTGACCTTCTTTTCCCTGCTCCCTTCTCCTTCCTACCCCTTTTTCCTTTTCCCAGCCCTCTCTCCGCCCCTCCCTCCCCATCCTCCCCACCCTCCCCACCCTCCCCTCCCCTCCTTCCTCCCTCCCCCCTCCCCTCCCCCAAATGGCACCTGACTTGCTACGCGAGGCGGCTGTTCATCGCCAGCCTGGCAGCCTTCGCCTGAGCACCCTTCCTTGGCAACATTTCCCTGTTCCCCTCCCCCGCCCACCCCCCTTCCCCCCTCTTACCCTTCCTCCTCTACCCCTCCTCCCCTTCTTCTCCCCCTCCCTCCCCCAGGTGGCACCTGACATGCTACATTCGCCGTCTCCTAATCTCCAGTCTGGCAGTCTTCCCCGAGTCACAGCTCTCCGTCACTCTCCAATGTACCACAACTGACCTCCTACTCTCGTCCTTCCCCCCCCCCCCAGGTGGCACCTGACCTGTTACGCCCGCCGGCTGTTCATCACCAGCCGGGCAGTCTTCCCCTGCACGTCCCCCGAGACACCCAACAGTGCCCTCTCCCACTTCCCTTTCCCTGGTCCCCCATTCCCTGTTCCTTCCACCTCCCCCAGGTGGCACCTGACGTGCTACGTGCGCCGTCTCCTAATCGCCAGCCTGGCGGTCTTCCCCTGCACGTCCCCCGAGACACAGCTCTCCGTCACTCTCCCTCTGCAAGCCATCCACATCGGCCTCCACTTCGCCGCCTCCCCACACTCCTCCCTCTCCCTCGACCTCCTCTCCTCGCTCCTCGCTCTCTCTGAGCTTCTATTCACGGTTGGACTCACTGGGAAAAGCTATGTGGTTGTGCCGGCGGCGGCTACGGGGCTGTTTGTGTGTGCGCTCGTGCTGCTGCTCGTGCCGTCGGCGCTGGTTTTGCTATATGAAATGGTGAATGGGTTCATAGCGTGGTGTAATCGCCGGGTGCTACGCAGGTTGGAGAGGAAGGGCGGGAGAGGGTCAGGAAGAGTGGGAGGGACGGATATGGGTGACGTGGCAGCATGGTTCAGACCACATGTGCTCTACACCTTCCTCCTCCACTGCAACAAAGCTGCTGCTTCTGCTGCCTCTGCAGCTGTTGCCGGTGCCGCTACTGCTGCTGATACCCCTGCACAACCAGCCGACTCAGCAACTAACAGATCACCACCAGCATTAGCACCAGCAGCAGCAGCCCAGCACCACCACCACCACCCAGCGCAGCTCCTCCTAACCGTTCACCACCGCTTTTTACTCTGCAAAACCCGTGGCATGGGCAACACACAGTGGACCCACCACCTGGCCAAGTCCCAGCTCTACGCTGTGCTCTCCCAGGCGCTGCTCGGTGCTGCTGTTGGGGATGTTACTGTCGCCCGCATGCCCGCATGGAAAGGCGATGCCCGTGTGCTCAGCTCACGGATTACCCACCAGCAGCAACTGCAGCAGCAGCAGCAGCAGCAGCAGCAGCAGCAGCAGAATCAACCGCAGCAGCAGTTGAGTCAGCAGGAGCAAGCAAACCAGCAGCAGCAGTTGTTGGGAGTGGCAGTGGGTGGTGGTATGCCCGGTCTGGCTGGGATGGCAGCAGCAACGGAGCGGGGGGGCGTGGGGTCAACGAGTGGGCGTCGCAGCAACATCAGTGTTCTGGTTCGCAGTCTGTCCAAGCGAGAGAGCCTTGGTGGTGTTGCTGGCGCCACTGACCTTCTCTCCTCCATGTCTGGAAGCAGCTCCCGCCACGAACTGGCGGGAGCAGCAGGAGGGGGAGGAGCAGCAGGGGCAGTAAGAGTGGCAGCAGGGGTAGCAGGAGGAATGGGAACAACAGGGATAGGCGAAGGAGCAGGGGCAACAGGGGCAGCAGGGGCAGCAGGGGCAGCAGGGGCAGCAGGGGCAGCAGGGGCAGCAGGGGCAGCAGGGGCAGCAGGGGCAGCAGGGGCAGCAGGGGCAGTAGGGGCAGCAGGGGGGGCTATGATCGGCAGCGGTGGTGGAGGGTTGGTGGTGAGGAGTGGGTCCTCCTCACAGGACGTATCGACAGAGGCAACAGCGTGGGCGTCAGCTATACGCTCGTACGGCCTCCCTCGAAGCAGCTCCCGCCGCGAAATCGTCCCCGAATCGCCCCGAGCACCCGTTGCAGCAGGGAGTATAGGAGCAGTGCTGGCGGCGGTAGGAGTACCAGGAGGAACGCCCGTAGCCCGATCCGGGCTATCCCGTAGAGAGATCGTACCCGACTCGCCTCTGACCTTCTCCAGAAGCGCTTCCCGCCGCACTGCTCCCGCAGACTCACCCGCTTCTTCCGCCCTCTCCACCTCCCCCTCCGCCGCTGCTGGTCTCCCCAGCCTGACTGGCCCCGGCAGCCTGGGCGGCTTCTCCTTGTCCCGTAGCGGCTCACGCCGCAACCTCTCAGGTGAATTCTCAGGTGTTTTGCCGGTCGTGCGGCAGTCCATGTCCCGAAGCTCGTCCCGGCGGGAGATATTATCGGAGATTGAAGGGGAACTTGCGGCGGCGGGGTTACCAGGTTCGCTCTCCCGGTCTCTCTCCCGGTCGCTGTCTCGGAGCGCGTCGAGAAGGGAACGGTGGAATGACGGGAGCAGTAACTTTGGAGGAGGGGTTGTGGAGGCAGAAGTGGTGTCTCGCGCTGAGTGGCCGCCCCGGTTAGAGGACCATGTCACCTGGACTGCTGCTGCTGAGGTTGGGGTTGCTGCTGCTGCTGCTAATGCTAGTGCTGATCCTGGTGGTAGTGGTGCTGGTAATTCTGCTGCTGCTGGTGGTGCTGGCGAATCTGATGCTGCTGCTGGTGCTGGTGGTAATGCTGATGCTGGTGCTGCTGGTGGTGGTGCTGGTGGTGGTGCTGGTGCTGATGCTGGTGCTGCTGGTGGTGGTGCTGGTGGTGGTGCTGGTGGTGGTGCTGGTGGTGGTGCTGGTGGTGCTGGTGGTGCTTCTGCTGGCAGAGCAGCAGCAGCCACCACAGCAGCAGTCACCACCACTCCTCCGGCTGCTGACTCATCCTCACACACAGCTGACTCATCACCACGTGCAGCTGACTCGTCACCACAGCAGCCCTCCCCGTCGAGCCCTCTGCCAGCGTCCGCTGTTCTCTCACCCCCGTCGAGATCCCCCGAACCCAGCCCTCATGATCCCAGCAGTACAGCACCCAACCGCAGTGCAGTGAGTGATGCAGTACCGCACAGCACACCACCGCACAGCACAGCACCACAGAGCACACCACCGACCAGCACACCACCGTCATTACCTGTAGGCTCATCACAGCCAGAAGCCACACCAGGAGAAGCAGCAGCAGCAGCAAGCACAGAAAGAACAGCAGCACCAGAAACTGCAGCAGCAGCAACACAAGGAGCAGGAGGAGCAGCAGCAGCAAGAGGAGAAGGAGCAGGAGGCGCAGGAGGGGGGTTAAGGGCAGCAGCAGGGAGCAGGGGAGGAGGGGGAGGGGAGGGGGAGTATTTAGAGGCTCGGCTGAGTGTGGCGGAGCTGACTCTCACGTTTCAGCGGCACCTGGCGATCCTGGTGCGAGTTGAGGCGCACAGGAGGGAGGACTCGCTCAGGCTTCTGCTGCGATCGAATGCCGTGCAGGACATCATTGCATGGCTGACCTCACCACACTGGTAAGTAAGTTGTGAGATGAGACATGTCAAGAATCGCACAGGAGGGAGGACTGACTCAGACTGCCGCCGAGATCCGATGCCGTGCAGGATATCATTGCATGGCTGACATCGCCGCATTGGTAAGTGCTGAGATGAGACTCCTTTGTAATCTCGTGCAGGATATCAGTCCTTGGTTGACATCGTCGAATTCGTAAGTGGTGAGATGAGATGAGATGAGACTCCTCAGTGATCGCACCAGAGGGAGGACTTGCTGCGTTTGTTGTTGCGATCCGATGTTGTGCAGGACATCATTGCATGGCTTACCTCCCCGTACTGGTGAGTCTTGGATTATATCAGTAACGCACAGGAGGGAGGACTCGCTGCGACTGCTGCTGCGATCCGATGCCGTGCAGGACATCATTGCATGGCTTACCTCCCCGTACTGGTGAGTCTTGGATTATATCAGTAACGCACAGGAGGGAGGACTCGCTGCGACTGCTGCTGCGATCCGATGCCGTGCAGGACATCATTGCATGGCTTACCTCCCCGTACTGGTGAGTCTTGGATTATATCAGTAACGCACAGGAGGGAGGACTCGCTGCAACTGCTGCTGCGATCCGATGCCGTGCAGGACATCATTGCGTGGTTGACGTCGTCGCACTGGTAAGAGTTGTTGTTGAGGTGAGATGTCTCAATGATCGCAGCGCAGAGAGGAATCACTGCGACTTTTGCTGCGATCGACGCCATGCAGGACATCATTGCATGGCTGAGGTCACCGCATTGGTAAGGCAGAGCGTGGTATTGCAACGTCACATGGATTGTGATCGCACCTCCTGCTGTTTATGTCATTGTTGTGGTTATCTTTCTTCTCTTCTTCTCAGGCCAGTTTCTTGTTTGTAACTTGCTTCACTAAATGTTTCTGTTGTATTGCTGTTCCGACTCTTCTCGCCGTTCCTTCCAGTAATGCGGAGGATCAACGGCTTGTGTTGGAGTTGGTCAGATTGATGAGGGAGGCAGCAGAAGCAGAAGCAGGAGGGCTGCAGTGGTACAAGGGATTCCTATTATTCTTCCGCACACTAAGAACGTTTGGTGGTATTTATTGAGCTTCAAGTTACTGTGATACGATTCATAATCTAATCTGATGTATTCGGGAGTCGATTGCGGCGCCAACAAAAGGTTTGTTCTAGGCTTGTGTTGAGGCCTTGTCTTAGAGCGTGTTCCTACGGCCTCATATCAGGCAACCTCGTATCAGATTCGCGTCGAACCGCACTAAAACGCATCCAACCGCAGTTGAACACAGTGAAACGTATTTCACCACGCGAAGCTGATACGAGGTGTTTCTGATACGAGGTGTAGGAACACGCTCTTAGAAACTGCCGTATCACCCCGGATAGAAGCGCATGTGCGCTTGTAATAAAACAGTATTTTTTAGGGGGGTGCGCTTCTAATTGAGTCATTTTTATAAGCGCATGCGCTTATATAATGACATATACGGTATAAATTTATAAATTTAAGACACCAAATTGTATATTTCACTCTTGCCATTTCAACGGAGTCGAAAAAAATCGCGTCACAAAGCAGAATCGTCTGCAAGCGATTCTCTTCCAGCACATAGGTGCCAAGCAGTCCCCCAGAAGTCAGAGAAATTTCTATAATTTGCATGAAAAACTCGGAGAATCCATATTTTTTTTGCAGATTCTCCCTTTCACACCACAAGATTCGCCCTGACTCAGAAATTCTTGGTCAACGGCAAGAGGAGTGGGCTGTGTGGCAGGTCCGGTCAATTTCTTGGCGAGGTCCGGCCAAGTACAAGTCATCAGGTACATGAGGCAGCCCACGAGCTCTGCGTAGGGACCACTAGACTCAAAGGGCTCGTCGGGAAAAGGGCCAATGAGTCAGTGGTCAACGGCAAGAGGAGTGGGCTGTGTGGTGGAGAACTGAAACCCGAACCGCCGAAGGACCTGCTGCACCATGTGTGACTGAGTCGGTGTGATGGTGCGAGCGGCTCTGTCCCTGGTGATCTGCAGGCCAAGGTAGCGCTGCAGTTCACCGAGGTCAGTGCACGTGTGTCTCTTCTGCAGTTCGGACTTCACCTCAGCCAGAGGTGCCCTGTCTGCTGTAGCAAAGGCCAAGTCGTCGACGTAAACTAGTATAAAGAAAGGAGTGGAACCAGCGCGAACAAACATCGACAGGTCGGTAGAGGAAGGACGATACCCAAGGTCACGAAGCGTGGAGCGAAGAGTGTCGTGCCACTCACGGGGCGACTGGCGGAGACCGTAGACTGGCTGCCTCAGGCTCCACTGGGTCTCAGGTGGGAAGGTGTTAGTGAAGCCAGGAGGACGCCGCAGCCAGATCTCCTCGTGTACGCGGCCGTGGAGAAACGCAGTGGAGAAGTCGAGAGAGTGCAGCTCGTAGTCTTGCTGTGCTGCTACGTGCAGTAACACCCGAAGAGTAGTCATCTTCGGGGTCAGGGCGAAGGTCTGGAATAAGTCAACTCCCTCATGCTGACTGAAACCCCTAGCCACGTAGCGCGCCTTGAACACAGGCGGTGAACCAGGCGGCCGCTTCACCTTGAAGAGCCACATTCCGTCGACAACGTTCGCCCTGGGAGGGGGAATTGCGTCAACGTAAGTGCTTGTGGATCTCCAAGACTCTAACTCTGAGTCCATAGCCGCTTTCCACTGAGAGGCCCACTCCCCTGACACTCCCTCACGGTACGTGCGAGGTGTCGGTATGTCAAGGGCGTCGGGGTCTCCCTCAAGGGAAAGCAGCATGGCACAGAGAGAGGGGGAAGCGGCTGCTAAGAACTCTAGGACGTCACAGCCAAGGGAAGACTCACCCCCGTCGGACAGAGGACGGGGAGGTGGATCAGCCACCAAACGCGTGGCGTAGTCAAGACGGCGGGTGGAAGCTAAGTCAGCGACAGCGGCAGTAAGAGCCGAGACAGACGACGGAGAGGCACGAGGGTTGGTGACAAGAGTGGCGAGAACACGGGAGACAACAGGGCGAGCAGCACGGTAGTAGTCAGTGATAGGGTGAGAGGAAACAGTGAGAGACGACTCAGGAGGTGAGGGGAGAACAGACACATGCGGAGAACGACGTGGACTAGGACGAAACAAGACAGTGCAAAGGTCGGCAAGAGGAGACGAGGGCCGAGCACGCGGAGGACAATGACTGGTCCAGTCGTGCGGGACAACAGGAGGAGACGACTGTGACTGAGGAGGAGAGAAAACGGCCGGAGTCGAGTCCGGAAGAGGAAACGTAGGACCGTACGCGGTAGGAGACGGTGAGTGGACAGGAGGAGAGGAAGGAAGACCAAGGGCCCGAAGGCCACTCACTGGAGGGAACAGCTGCTGCAAAAGTGGTGGCTGCGGCGGCTGCTGTTGCCGCTGCTGGTGCGGCTGCTGCCGCTGCTACTGCTGCTGCTGCTGCTGCTGCTGCTGCTACTGCTACTGCTGCTGCTGCTTCTGCTGCTGCCGCTGCTGCTGGTCCAACTGCTGCAGCTCCTACCGCTCCTGCTCCAACCGCTCCCGATCCTCGCGCTCAAGCCGGCGAAGAGCCTGGAGACGTGTGTTGTAGTGGTGGGGAGGCGCAGTGGGCGCCGCAGTAGTCGTGCCTCCAACTCCTGTCTCCTCAGTACAAGCTCCTACAGCGCCAGCACCTCCTGCTCCAGCACCCCCAGAACTAGCACCACCAGCGCCAGTACCTCCAACTCCAGTACCCCCAGAATTAGCGCCGCCAGTGCCAGCACCTCCAGCTCCAGCACCCGCAGAACTAGCACCTCCAGTGCCAGGACCTCCAGCTCCAGCACCCCCAGAACTAGCGCCAGCAGCGCCAGCACCTCCAGCTCCAGCACCCCCAGAACTAACACAGCCAGTGCCAGCACCTCTAGCTCCAACACCTCTTGAACGAGCGCCCCAAGACCGAGTACCGCCAGTGGCAGTACCTCCAGCTCCAACACCACCTGAGTCCACAGTAACCTGTCGCGGAAGTGCCTAAGGCTGCTGAGGGGACTGTGAGGAGGACTGCGGGGAGGGAGACGCTACCTGACGCGCGATCAAGGGTAGAGGGATAGCGTGAGACACACCTGACGGGGCAGGACCAGGGGGGGGCGGGGGTACCGGAGGAGCGGGAGCAGGGGGAGGAGAGGGTGCGAGGAAGAGCGGGGGAGGGGGAACCGGGAGACCTCGACAGGGGTACCGGGTGTAGTAGGACACTGACTCGTCAAACCGGACATCACGAGAGTCTAGGAACTGGTGGAGGGGCGGGTGGTAAAAGGAGTAGTCGGGAGAGCCCACCGGGAAACCAAGGAAGACACAAGGGATGGCGCGAGCCGAGAGCTTGTCTACAGAGGTGTCGCGGACAAGCGCAAGGCAGCCCCAGACACGAAAGGCCGACCCAACACCAGGGGACCTGGTCCAAAGACGGGTCGGTGAAGCCTCTGGCCGCGAGACACGTGGCTGGAGGTTCAGCTGGTGCGTGGCGTAGCGAAGCGCGTAGGGCCACAGAAAATGGGGCGCACGGGCATGGATCATGGACGTGGGGCGATGTCCATGACCAGCCAATGCGGCGCTCAGTAACCCCATTCTGCTGTGGGGACTCCGGCAGTGTCCAGGACTATCTGATGCCCTGCTCGCCGCAGAACTTGGCAAGGACGCCGGAGCGAAACTCACCCCCACGGTCGGAGTGGAGACAACGGACACGACTACCACGAGTGCCCTCAGTGGTCAGAAGCCACCGGATCAGCGTAGAAGTCACCTCGGACTTCTTCGCGAGAGGAAACACCGTGGTGTACCTGGAGTAGTCGTCAACGACCACTAGAAAGTAGCGCTCCCTCTCAGGTCCCAGCGTAGGGGCAGGGCCCCAGACGTCCAAGTGGAGAGTCTGGAAGGGAGCAGTGGTCGGACGAAGGGAGGAGGAGTGCGGAGTGGCGCGCAGGCGGCCGGCAACGCAAGGAGTGCAAGGTGGAGCAAGCGAGGGAGGGAGCGATGGAAAGACGCGCAGGAGACCTGAGACAAGACTGTG